AAGTTTTTCCTGGGTTTTTTTCTCTCGTTTTATCCACGAGAAGGATATCATCAGCAAAAAGCATACACCAAGGTACATCCTCCTGTAGATGTCCAGTAAGACCATCCATAACTTTCTTGTCTTCCCAAAAGTTGCATACCCTTCAATGGACTGGCCTTGATGAAAACAAACTCTCCAACTTCAAACTCATAGTATTTCCTCTACATGTCTTGTACCGTCCATAGTCTGTCTCTAATTAGTCTAATCTTCTCCGCAGTAACATCAACCAAATTAGCTCCAATGATCTTTCTTTCAGTTGTTTCAGCCCAAAATAGAGGTGTCCCTGCATTTTATTCCATAAAATACTCATATGGAGATATTCCAATGCTAGTCTGGTAATTATTATTATAGGCAAACTCTACTAAGGGTATATGTGATTCCCAAAATCCACCAAAGTCAATGACACATAATCTTAGTAGATCCTCCATGGTCTGAATAGTCCACTTTGACTATCTGTCTAAGGGTGAAATAATGTGGTGAAAGTCACTTGAATGCCCAAAGCTTCCTAAACCTTTTTCCATAGTTTGGAAGTAAACATGTCATCTCTGACAAAAATTATAGACTTTGGCACTACATGACATGCAATCTCATAATCTGATCCACATATAGTATGGCAAGCTTCTCAACTGGATATGTTAGTCTACTAGGGAGAAAATGACAGATTTAGTCAATCGATCGACAATTATCCATATGGCATCGTAATCTCCTCCCATTTCCACTATGAAATCGGTAAAGGCTGCAACTAACCTACAGGAAATTGATGCTCTACCTTCACTAGCTGCCATGAAAGACACTTGGCCACAAATTCTGTCACACCTCTTCAATTCTGGCTAGTAAAATGTTTTTTTGAGATCTTGATAGATTTTATAGCTCCCTAAGTGAATAGTATAACCAGATAAATGTGCTTCCTCCAAAATTTCATTCTTCAGATAATCAAAATCTGGAACATAAACCGTGTCTTTATGCCTTAATAGACCATCATGATTTATCACATCTCTCTCTAAATTTTCTGCCTGAACCTACTTCAAAACTTTCTAAATTTTTGTTATTTCTGGCTAAAGAATCTCCAATTCTGCTCTTTAGAGTTGGCTGCATTGTCAACTGATGTAACTGAACCATTTTATCATTACAATAATCAACTATAGTCAACCTAAGCCACTCAAGATCTTTAATTAATTGTACTTGCCGAGTAAATAAATAATTCAAATTACCATAAGCTTTTCTACTCAACGCATTTGCAACAATATTTGCCTTTCCTGGATAATCCTGAATATCTATATCATAATCTTTAAAAAAATTCAAGCATCTCCTTTGCTTCAGGTTTAACTCTTTCTGAGTGAAAATTTATAATTCATTTCAAACTCTGGTGGTAAGTGACAACTTCACACCTAACTCCATACAGATAATGCTTCCAGAGCTTGACTGCAAAAACAACTGCAGCGAGCTCCAAATCATATGAAGGATAGTCCCTTTCATGATTCTTCAATTGTCGTGAAACATAAGCGATGACCCTACTATGTTGTATCAATACACAACCCAAACCCCTTAAAAATGCATCACTGAAAATTTGAAACCCATCAAAATCTAAAGGAATGGCCAAAACTGAAGCAGATATTAAGCAAGTTTTCAGCTTTTGAAAAACTTCCTCACAACGATCAGATCAATCAAACTTCAACGACCTTTGAGTCAACCTTGATAGTGGCATATTAATCTGTAAAAACCCCTCAACAAATCTCATATAATAACTAGTCAGACCTAAAAAATCATGACCTCAGTAACAGTAGTAGGTCTTGGTCAATCTGCAATCATCTTAACCTTATTTTGATCAACAAATATGACGTCTTCATTAACAATGTGCCAAAAAAAAGCCACATTTTTAAGCCTAAATTCACAATTAGAAAATTTACCATAAAGTGTATTATCCTTCAAAACTTGTAGCACAGACGAATTTCATCCCTTGAATACACCAGAACATCATCTATAAATATGATCAGAAAAGTATCTAGAAATCATCTGAAAACCCTTTAATCAGATCCATGAAAATTGTTAGAGCATTTGTCAATCCAAATGGCATCACCACAAATTCATAGTGCATATATCTGGTCCTGAAAGTGATCTTCGTTATATCTTATTCTTTAATTCTTCCTTTCCTCCAATCATAAGTTCCACCTCACCTGATTGATCAACTTCCATAAAAAGACCACTTGGCATTCTCACTGATAATATCACGGGCATTAAAATAACAATCAATTGCATCACTTTAGTCTGTTAATCAGCTATAAAAGAATGTGATGCTCCTGAATAAAATAGCACTCATATCGGTCTACTCTGAAGATATATAATATCTATTATTTAAAATTATTGCATTAGACATTTAAAGTTAGCTTATTAATAAATTCAAACCCTTTTTTTATGTACGCAAGACAAGAATCATATGATGCTTAAAGTGAACTGGTTAAAATTATTAAAAAAAAAACATACTTGTGATAACATCAGGAGAGTCCTTAGCTTCCTTCTGTGATAATGCATTATACTTTAGGCTGAACATTCTGCTGAGTCTGACCAGAATTTGGCACTGACCATAAAGATTCAACTGCCCTCGGTCTACCATAGCCTCTAGGTGGTGAATCACTGCTCCTGGAATCTGTTGGAGCCGTCTGATCCAATTTAGAGCAATTGTTAGCCATGTGTAGTGGCAAGTGGCACCAAAAGCATGTGTCCAATCCAGACAGACACTCACCATTGTGTGAGCTTCCACACTTTTCACACCTATTTACTGCATACTAGGTGCCAAAGCTGATGGATCTAGCCTTCTAAACACTTGTATCAACTGATTGAAAGGACTATCTCTGAGAGCTCCGAGGAAATTTAGATCCACCTGAATTTGTTGCCTAATGAAGCTCCTTCCTCTAAGTAGTCTCCGGATCCAGCTCAATCCTCTTAGCTCTCTTCACCAAAACAGAGTAATCATTGATTCCAAGAGGAATCAATAGCTGTCTAACCACATCCCTGAGCCCATACAAAAATCGGTGGCACTTGTCCTTTGCATAAGGGATCAACTGAGGCGCATATCTTAAAAGCATGGTGAATTAAGCTTCATACTGCATAATAGAGCGATCACCCTGTACAAATCTGATAAACTTATCCCGCATTTATCTCTAGGCGGATAGTGGTAAAAACCGTTATCTAAAGATATTCAAGAACTCTCTCCACTGAATCATGTCACTGGTTCTACCCGAAATTTCTCCTACAGCTGTCCAAGCCACCATCTCTCCGCTTCACCAGCTAACCTCCTCTACTGGAACTGGCCTAAGTCTGAGAGATCTTAATCAACTGTGTTATTGTAGTCATTATCTCAGTAAATGCATCTGAGTTCACAGTAATAAACGGGGGAACAACAGCTTCGACAGTCTCATCTCTTACCCCCCCCCCCCCCCCCCCCCGATTTTTCATATTTCTGAAAGAGTATAAAAGAGATTATAATTAGATACAATTGAATTCCTTATCGACATTACTTAAGAATTAAGGAAATCATCCTAATGGCTCTTCTAGATCAAGATCAAATCTATTTGCTCTAATACCACTATTGTCACGACCAAGCCCGGTGCTTAGAATTAACTAAGGAGTGTACTATAGTAGAATGGTATTAACATCCAACTAACTATCCACAAAATGTTTCAACAACTTCCAATATATAAAAAAGCCACTAATCCACAAAATGCAATAAATTCTAAAACATCCAAAATAACATCTAAAGCCAGTACAAAATAATATATCAATATCTGAAAGAAATAATAATAACAAATTATCATCATAACAAATATACCTAGCAGTAGTGATCCTCCTCTGGTAAACAAAATCTCTCCTATTAGACGTATCAACCTAAAACATTTTTCTCCTGAAAGAGAACATTAACTTCAACCGTAAGTAAAACTTAGTGAGTAATTATAATCTAATATGCATTAAATTTATATAATATGTTATTCTATGTTATGTTATGCATGAATGACCAATAAAAAATGGAGTTAATTTCACTAAAACTTTAAATTTATATGTTCCCATTTTACTTTAAGTACTATCATTTTTTTTAATTCTTTAATAGTCATCGTTGGATTACCGTCATACCCAAAGGTATCATTAAATGGCCGAAGGCACCCTCAAAAATGTACCTGAAGGTAACCTCAAATTGCACCCGAATGCGCAAATTTACCGTCCATTTTAATGTGCACAAGTACATTACATCTCCTGTTAGTATCATCTAGGGTAATCATGTATGACTTCAACATTTAACTTTCATTTCCTTTTATTTAAATTACATCCTTTTAAAGACATTAAGTAATTTTTCCCTTTCCTCTTTCATCTCATTTCATTCTTAAGCTACAACAAGCATACAAACATAAAATAATTGCCTAAAACATTTAATAAAGTTTAAAATTAATACATATAAAAAAATAATTCCTCGTCTTGACTTCAGAGACTACTGAAAAAGTTTATTACTTCTCCTCACTTCATAATACCTAAATCAATAAAATGTGCATATACTTATAAGAACTTCGTTTTAATGGAAAAACTTAAATGTGGCTAGCTTATTTAAAGAACTCTAATCTCTATTGACAATAAAGTTCTTAGTCTTCCTCAAAATTTGAAAATTTATCAGTCTTCTACACCCTTCTGATTACATAAAAAAGATATTTAATAACATTAATTTGAATAGTTATTCTATTTTTTCCAATAACAATATACCATTAATATTTACCTTATAAGTTGCTCGGATCGATCCTCCTCCTAACTCCCACGCTCCTCCAACTGCTCGTTCGAATTTGAAATCATTATATTAAGGTTCTAATTAATTTTTTTATCTCGCATTTAAACACACACACAAAAAAATTATATATATAATAACATATTAATTAACTTACTAAAAAAATATTATACATATCTTATATAACTTGCCTTTGCCCTAGCTCACGCACAAAACTTGCCCCTTCCTACTTTCCTCGACTCGATCACGTGAGTTTCTTCGGTCCCGTCTCACCCCAGCAAAGTACATGTGCAACCCCCTCCTTCCAATGCACACAACAAAGCAAGGATCACCTCGCCAATTTCGACTCCCCTTCTCTTCTTCTCTCTGTACGGGAACAAATCCGCAATAAGTTCGCTCTTCTTCCTCTTCACCTTCTGTCTTGACTCAAAGCAGACTTCCCTTCCTCTGCTACGCAAGCACAGTTTTGAAGGTTATCTCCTCTCCTTCACAAGGCTCAACAGCCCTACAGTGGCACGCAAGCTCTTCCTTGCGCTACTTTGGCTTCTCTCACAAAGACGACATGACTTCGGTTGCGGCTCGTTCCCAATAAGTCTCTCATGTCGCCTCCTCCCTCACCTTCCTCCTTCCCGTCTAGATTACAAAGTTTTACAGTAACCGCAACTTAATCCTTCTTCCTTCTCCTATGCGGCTTCCATTAATCTTCCTAGGTTGTGATTTGATTTGTTCGAACAAGGAAGTGACAGATAAGTTATAACTGAAGGGATATGTCTCCTCAAACCGTCGACATTTTTTCTTTTTTTATCATTCTTTTATCTTTTATTAAAATTTTAGTTATTACATCAAGTATGTATCTCCGAGATGGCATGGCTAGGGTTCAAGAATAGGAAGGAAATTTTTGGTGTAGATAGAGTTTGGGGAAATCAAAAGTGTGGTTGAGCATAAAAACGAAAATTTTAAAATAGGAAAGGTGAACGCTAGAAAACCCTAGGATAGGACTAGGGTTTGGCTAGCTCTGATACCAAATAATACCGAAACTAGTTAGAGAATCAACGAAAAAAAAAGAAACTTTTATTAATATTAAAATTGGGTTGCAAAGCGACACAAATGGAAAAGGGAACTACAACACCAAATCAACTCTCCGGCTGGGACCGGAAGTAAAGATCTGGAAGCAATGGTGGCTTCGACGAAGCGACAAGGGAAAAGGAGAAGAGTGCGGGGCTGTCAGAAATGTTGGAAGGCTAGTTGGTGGCTGGTTTAGGGGTTTGGGAAATTGGAGTGGTAGGTAAAATTGCAGATAAGGGTGGTGAAAGGTGTTGGGTGATTGCAAGGTGAGTCAGAGCAAGGAAAATTGTTGTACGCAGGCCCGATAGGATACGAGCGGTTAGGATGGTTGGACAGGAAGGCCAGCAGCAGGTTAGAGGTGAATAGGGTTGGAATGCGGGTTGAAAAGTTGAACGAAAAGGCAGTGGCAGAAAAGGGGCGGCAAGTCAGTGAGGATGGTAGTGAAATGGACGGCGGCCAATGGAAGGAGAAGGGGTAGGGAGGAAGATAGAGTAAAAGGGGTAAGATACATCACCGCCTGGGAGAAGGATACAACCGGAGCACCACCACCTTCTCGAATACAGCCCTAGAACAGGGAGAACAACTCCACAAAGGAATCTGAAAGCAACACAGAAAAACTAAACCAAATGACTCAGTCAAGTAAATCACGAAAAAGGAAGGATAGAGGGAGGGCCGGCGGCAGTGGCGCTCGATCGAATGGACGCTAGAAAGGAAGTAAATACAGCCCGACTCCTACGGTGTCTAGACCGGTTCCCCTATGCCGGTTGGCTTGTTTCCCGCATCCGTGCAGAAAACTCCCTCACCCGCATCATCCAATAGTGTCATATTCCTTCATCCAATTCCAATCGTTTCTACTAAAATTATACATCATAACATCATATAGATTAGAATTAATTGAAGGGGCTTGCCTATGATCAACATCAGTAATTAACCGAAAGAATGCGCCCAAGGAACACTCCAAACAAGTCATAAATTCATTGCAAAAGAGAAAAATCTATATGCAATCCCTTATCAAGTATGAAATTTACCTGCTACAAAATCAACCTAATATTACCTAAATAGATTATTTTAGTCTGAAGAGGACTTTCGAATCCCAAAATTACTATTTCTTATGTTTTTTGAAGCAAATTTACTAGCATCAGGATACCAAAAATAAAAAATAAAAGATAACACGCACAAATAACCAAAAGATATTGTAAACCATACTGCAAAACAAAAATAGCCATAGAAGGATTCTGTATCCTGATAAAATAAGGAGACTTCTCACGTAAACTCCATAGGAGAATTTACAACTGCTAAAAAAACTCTTCACCACGGACTTAATTTGGAGATCTAAATTTGTATTACCTCATGAGAATACCACAGAAAGCTGCAATAGCATCTGTAAATTGTAATACATCATTCATGTCTCACATTCTAACTTGATAGCTTATACTGTGAAAAAAGAACTTGCCAAACAAATCATTCACATAAAAAAAAGACAAACAGTATTTGTAGAAATAAGATGGCTTAAAAGACGAAAAAATCACAACCCAGAAAACTCATTAAATCCTTCTTCATGATAAAGATAACAAAAACATAAAATGCATTCACGTAAGAATATCAAAAGGATAATAGATGCAGGATGACAAAAAAGTATCCATGGGATAGAACCTTGAATTCAACTACCGTCTTTGAAGGCTCAAAACTTAGAACATAGCTTGACAAAGGGCAGCAAAGATTAAGCAAATATGCCGGATATTCTTGAGTTTTTTGTCTCTTCCTGCAGTGATTTTCAGAGGCAACCCTCAACTTAGCGGTCGCGGACTGAAAACTTGCAGCAAGGCTATTAATCAAATTATGGATTGGACCTTTGGAAATGAACCTTGCATTGATATCTGAATCCGTAAAGGAAAAAATATTGAAGCTTAAAGAAAAATGATTAAACGTAAAGCAAAATAGGATACAGATATATTGGAATACCTACAAAACAAATAATAAACAGAATGAACTGATAAACAAGAATATCCTGCATAGGTATGTTTTCATCAACGAAAACATTATAAATACCTTTGTCGAGAATGCACCTATTGGCCCTGATATGTACCCAGAAAGTGAAAGTTCTCCGTCAGAGAAAACAATTTCTCGGAGTGAACTAGAAACCTCATTTCCAAAACCATCAGTCACCAAAGGCAAAGAAGACATGCTAGGAATTGTGCAAAGGAGTTTCTGTTCACTGCACTAACAAAATATAACTGAAATTACACAGTTCAAAAAGAGAGTAAACCGGTGTATGTTTTTACATTAAGAACTCACCCCTCAATTTCAATAACCTTGAATGACACATGTGGATGCACAAGTGCTATCCTAAAGACATATTTCTTCACAGAATGCAGCACCTTTCTAAGGCTTCAAGATAGAAAATCGACAGAGCAAGTGTCATTCCACATATAGATGAGCTTCATCAAACAAATAAATGTAATGTGGCAAATTATGTAAATTCTTTGAATGGAAAAGGATGGAAAAACATTGTAGAAAGAAACCTAGATTGCATTGATTTCCTCCGAATTGGTTGATTATAAAATAAATCTCGAACTATTACTGCAAGAAAAAAGCAAGAATTTTTTAAAATAAGTTAATCAAAACAATCAGTAGAATTTTTGAATGGGCCAATAGAAACGGAAAGCTAATGGATGCTAAGACTAGCCTAAGCGCTTATTTGGCAACACTATGTCGCGTAACCCTTCACCACAGTTGTAATAAGTACATCAACAGGAAGCAAAATTTTACAACAAATATCCTCTGCGATATTCTGAAACCAAGCAGCATTAAGCAAATGCAACATTGGCAAAAAAAAAAAAAAAACACCAATGTTGAACTCTGTTCCTGCTAAACAAGGTGACATGATCGAATAAAAAAATGATGATAGAATGAAAAAAACCAATCTCAATATCATGCAAATTGAGATCAAAACACCGTGCAAAGCAAATTCAAATAATGATGATTCATTCCGCAAAAAAATGCTTCACTGATAAGTCCAACACCAAAACTGACAAAGATGGGTTTTAGCATTGGGTGGCGCATCTCCTGGTAAGAAAGGCAAAAAACGTACCTATAATTGCTCAAAACATTACTTTTACGTCAAGTAGATGATAGCACATCTCCAAATGAGAAAGGCAAAAAAACCAATAAGGAATCATTCGAAAGATGGCTAGTACACAAAAGAGACTACACTGATGAATTCAGAGCATCGAACTAGAGACATTGCGCATTGCGATTATGAATAACCACCAGAGCAGTCAGAACTATCAAACATTTGTTCTTAAAACATATTATGTTATGCATCCAAAACTCCAAAAACAACTTGACCACTAAATGAAAACCTGATCAACATGTCGGCCTGCAGACGTGGTATAGCACAAATCAGAGCCAAATGCCACAATCACAATCAATAATAATAATAATAATAATCTAAGTATCACGCATGTCATATATCTCACGTGACTCCCCCCAACCTGAAGACTTCCTCTGCTTCTCTTTAGATTACTCGCCGACATTGCCTTCTCTCACAACATCTACACAAGCAACAAACTCGTTGTTCAATGTTTCTCTCTATTTTTTAGCGGCACAAGCCTCCCAACTAATGTCATAACTCCTTCAACCACTCCAACATGCGACCACCAATCACCTAGTTATCCAGCCCATCAAACTAACCAGCTGCATGTTGGCTCCCTGCTAAAGCTCCTCCCTGGCTAGTTTAAACCACCGATCTCTTTTCCTATCCACCTCATTCTATCTTCCGACCAGTCTCTGAACAAAGAAACTCATTCTTTCACTCCTCTCTCTACAATTATGACCCCTGTCCTCTCTCTCCCTACAACTAAATGCCCTCTTGTCTCTCACTTTCTCTCTCTAAGTAAAAAGAAATCAAATTCCCTCATCTCTCCACCTCATTCTCACTTTATCTCTCCACACAAAGAGAAAAATCACACTTTCTTTCCACCTATACCTCACTCTCTCACTTTCTCTCTCAAAACAAAGAGAGAAACCATTCTTTCCTTCTCAATCAATCTCTACTCTCTTTCTAACTTGCCGTTTTTTTAGACAACCTCAGAGGGAATTTTATTAAATAAACAAATAATCTTTCTGACTCTCCCTAAATAACGATAAGACGCGAAATTTCTTTTCCTCCTTTCTACCTAGAAAGGTAGCGAAGAAGGCCTTGCATTGCCAAAAAAACTAACTTGCATTAACAAAAAGCCAAGTACATAAACATTTTTTTATTAAAGTAAACGAATTGGAAAATTTGTCCTCATTTTTGTATGAGTTACCCATACATGTCTTTCTTGGCATTATGTGGAAAAATGTCAGTCGAATCACCACCAAAATCTTAGCATAAAACCCTAGAAGAAAAGAAGAGATGTCGGCAGCACACGAAAAACTAACCCTGGACCCTCATGAAAGCAAACATATAATAAATGGATAACTATGAGTTACCCAAGAGGATAGGCCAACTCCTCAAAACAAAGTAAACTTGAAATGGTTCAGTCGAGACAAACATGCGAGATGCGTGTTTTCGGTCACAGGAAGTACTGCGTGTAGGTCACGTTTCTGCATCCGCTTGGACATGGGACGACCAGCAACAACGAATCTAGTGAAAATCGCATGCATGTTCAAGCAAAAGAGATATAGAGAATGCTCGCTTGCGGGGGAGGACCAAATTGAGAGCTCTTACAAGGTATACCAGGGTTTATTTTCTTTAATTTTTATATAGTAATTTTGTTAGGATTATTATATAATTAATAAAAAGATGTTATAAGTAATTTTAGAAATTATTAATAGTTGATTATTATTTGATGATAAAAGTGATAGATCGAAAAACTTTTGCTTTATAAGATTTGGAGATTTTAATTGTTGATTTCACACAAGTATGAGAAAGTAAAGGATAGAATATTTAATGTGTTGTATCTTTTTTTAGATAAATGAATTAATTTAAACGATATTAAATGTTAATAATAAGTTTTTATTAAACAAAAAAATTTAGATTAAGGAATATTTAAGATTGAAGCGAAAAGATGCAATTGCGGCATAAAAGAGAAGTGTTTAATTGAAAATTAATTATAATCAAATAAATAATGATCTAAGTATTAAAATAAGTTTTATTTCTTAACAGTATCAAAATTTTGAGGTGGAAAATATTGGGATCCAAGAACAAGAAGGATTAACAACAATAATGAGGTTAGGGTTTCCCATTTAAATTATAAATTGTCGCTTTAAATTAAGATTGACAAATCTAAATAATAGGTTATATTAAATGCAATCTGATTTTGGCAAGTTCAAGTTTTTGTGTTGGAAAATTGATATGAGTAGAAAGGTGAAAGGCTTTGACTTTTTCAGTAATTTTCATGCTTGATTTCATTTATACTCCATTCCAGCGAGATTTAATATGACGGATTCTTCATATTATTAAATAAAAAAATATGCATGTTAAATAGATGCATAATGATTTTTCCTATAAAGTTATTAGGAGTATTGAATGACATTTTGGATTCCAATAGAAGAGCATATATCGATATATATTGCATGACATTTAGATCCTAGTAGAAATGCATTTATTATATAACATTTAAAAAATTGTCATGCATAAAGAGTTGCATGATAATTTACTTATGAAATAAGATTATTTTTTCCCCTTCTTATTCTAGTAAGCATGCATGTATTCATAAATAAATGAATACAAAGTGTCACATAAGAAAGTAATGCATGTTAGAAAAGTAAAATGAGCGTCTATACAAAAGTTTGTAGTGTATCTTAAGAGGAGTTCACCTCATTATGGTACTGGCTGGGGACACCAATGTACTCGTGGGCCAAGATGTTTATCTTACCATCTCAGAAAATTATGAAATTTCAATGACAGTTGTGCTAACGGGAGAGTATTGGCCAAAGATGAGTATGCATTATACTACCTCAAATAATTGTGAAATTTAGATCACTAACCGTTGTACCGACGGAAGAGTATCGATCAAGGGTGAGTAGGCACACTTCTACCTCAGAAAATCATGTAATTTAGATCACGAACCATTATGTTGATGGGATAATATTGGTCAAGGTATGTTAAGTTATGGTTGATGATGCTACTGAGATAAATGTAAGAGTTAAGAACATGAAATAAAAGTAAAGTTAAGGATTAAACTTTAAATAATAAAGTAAAAAATTAATGTGTAAGGAATTTAATAGTATTATCATTGAGCAAATGTCACGAATACGTGCATTAGTTTATTATATGATTATCAATAATGAAATATGAAAAATCAGCATGCATATTGTCTTCTATTCTTTCGAGTACTGTAGTCCAAATTTGATTACTCCACTGAGTTATCTAGGAAAACTCATCATATTGTTTAATATATTTCAAGTTTAAGTTTTTGAATTAAGATAAATTCTGGAGACAAAATGTGTTCAGAAGGCGAGATCAACAAAAGAAAAAGTAAACTTCTAATTTGTTAATTAAATTGCATTATTTAGTGATTCTTTCAATTTAACTGACATAAACTCTTTTAGTGATAGAAAATTTATAAAAAAAAATTATTTTCATGGACTAACAGTTTGATCCCGTCTTGGTTAGTTCAAAGCTCCGGGTCGGGTCGTGACACAAATGGAATTTATTAAGTCCATGTAATTGAGCTTATGCAAAAATTAAATTGACTCACAAACTTTTTTAGTCTATGTCAAACACTTGTATATCAAACCTAGCTCCATGTAAAAAGCAAGTATTATAGAAGTAAAAATATGACAGTTGGTATCAGGAGAACCTTGATCTTGTGGAGGATGTGCATCATAAAAATCATATTGTCTCGGATGTTTGGACTAATAGTGTTTGGAACTTAAAACTTTTTTATTGATCTTGTTGGGGCTGAAAATGCTCATTATATTTCCACTATCCCCTTTGATCTTACTTACTAAAAAAGACACTCTTATGCTCAAAATGGTTCCTAAAGGCTCCAATAACAAAAACTCTTTATTTCACATTACATCATTTTCAAAAAAATGATTGGGGTGAGGGTATATGGAGTTGGGCATTATCTACATCTATGTCTTTCTTTGCTTGGAGACTCTTCCATGGTGTAATCCCTTGTGAAGATATTCTTAAAATCAAAGGTTTGAGGTTCAAATCTCAATGCCCTTTATGTAAAAATGAGAAAGAATTAGTGGACCATCTTTTTTTTTCTTGCACTATCTCTTTAGATGTGTGAAAAAAGGGGGGGTAACTTCTATGCCTTAATACTACATTTCCTTCGAGGGACATATACGAAGTTGTAATTTTTGCAATCCTGCAAGGAGGAAGCATCATTTTTTACAAATCTATCCTTTTATTATTTGTTTGTTTATATGAAAGGCTCGGAATGATACTAAACAAACAGAAAAGTGTGTTACTAATGTTGTTATATATGATAATACATTGGCTTATATCAATAGGTTGGCTGGTTTGGGTATTAACAGCATGTTAATGGGGTTAGTAGAAGAGGTCAGCAACTCCCTACTTTGGTGAGAGAGCTGGCCCACCAGGCTAACTGGATTAAATTCAATGCTAATGGCAGTTGGATATTGATGACGCTGGCATTGGTGGCATTGCTAGGGATGAGCAGAGTAGATATCTATTATACTTCTATTCTCCATGTATTATTGCTCATCCTCTGGTAATTGAAGTTAGCGTTGTGTATATGGCAGTTTTACTAGCTAGTTGTGCCATATGGTCCTCTGTGCAAGTTGAGATGGTGTTTTGGTTGAAATATTACAAGGCATAAGGGGGGCACCTTGGAACATAGTACATTATTTCAAAAAAATCATGTTTGTTACTTCCTGCATAAACATTTCTTGGAAATTTTTTCACAGAGAAGGAATAGACCAGTCAATTGGCTGACAAGTTTTGGTGCTAATATGATGAAATTCTTGTGGGAAGGAAACCTTTTGGGACCTTGCTCGCATTGGTTGTTGGGGATCTGTTGGATGCCCCTTATATCAGACTTTGACGTAATTTTTTTGGAGCAATGCTAACAACAGTTGTGGCTGGGTGTTGCTCATTTTTTTATGATTTCATTTTTGGGAGTTTGGTGTTATCAATTATTGCTCCTCATCGGAATGGGATTTTATTTCCAATAGTTTGCTGCACATTCTATTTTATTTTTTATATACTGGGAAGGGGTTTTTATATTGTATCGATCATGCTACTCTGTCATTACCTTTCGTTTTCTATTTGGTGGTGTAGAATGCTGACCTTGTGCAGGACATCCGTGTCAGACATCAATGGGGTTGTTTGATGACTGTTGGGAAAGTTGGATGTGATGAACTTAATGATAGTTATAACTGCAGTATCATCACATTTAATTTTCTCTGATTTGTGTTTGCTAGTTTTTTGTTTGGATTTGAGATCCTGTTTAGTGATGTTGTCTTGTCTTTCTTGTGGTAGCACTTTTGACAATGATGGAGTTGTTTTCATGTCGGTTGGAACAATTAGTTGGATGGGTTACTAAACTGAAACTGAAAATGAAAATTATATGCAATTATCTTACACTTTATTTTCTCTGATTTTGTGTCGGCTGGCTTCCTGTTTGGATTTGTTGTTGTTGATTTGATTTTGTTGTCACACCTGCTGAATTTATTTGGTGTTGCATATGTGGTTTTCACTGTGCATTATTTAATTTATCAGGGCTGCAAAGCCATGTGGAAGTCAAATGTTCTATCAAGATAGTTTTCTATCCCTGGCTGCTATTTCCTAGTTTCTTTATGCAGCTATATTTCTTTCCTGCCTGCCTTGGTTCATAGTACTATTTCAACTATGGGGGCTGCTCTACTATGGGTCTATCAATGTCTTATTTAAGCTGAATTTCTTTTCCCTGCTCCTAAAGTTAATGAATTCTTTGTGTAGCTATATTTTCTATCTGTCGTGGTTTGTGCTTCCCTCTGCAGTTTGAGAGATGGTTTTTTGGTTATGAGCTGCTTTGACTTGAAGTTTAAGTGAAGGAGATACTGTCAGGAAACTAACCTGCACAGTGGATTGACCTAATCAGATTATGGTATCATTCTGTTGTCGAGATTTAACTGGATTCGTTTCTTTTAGAGTTTTATATTTTTGGGGTATGCATGTACACCTTTTTGGAGATCATTTTTTTAGTCTGTTGTACACCTGATGTTTGAGACCTTAGAACTGTGTATTGTACTTATTTTGGTTGTTAGTGGGACCCAATCATCAAGACTTTTGTACTTTTTACCTTAATAAAATTTCCTCTGAACTTCTGCAAAAAAATATATATATATATATATACATATATATACACACACATAACCTAACATCTAGCCGATGATAGTTAAGTGAGAGTAGCATTAGGATGGTGGTTTCCTCATAAGTCCTCATGATGCATCCTTTATTGTGTTCAAATTCTGAGCCGAACCTTGGCCTATTGATTTATACCTTATCCCCAACCATGAGAACATGGATTAGAACACTAATGCTCATTTCTTAAAAAATTATCAGACATTCATTTCCATTTGGCTCGTCTCAAGTTTTTGTGCCCTTCAATGACTGTTCTTACAATCTCGTAATTGAGATTTTGTGCCCCTTTAAACAGCCAATAATAAATGAAGGCTAACGCAAGCTCTTATGAAACAAACACTGCGGCACTTGAATCTTATGATAAATGGGCAACGAGTCATCAAGAGAAGAATGCCTGAAGTTAGCATAATGTGCAGCCTAATGCAATTTCATCACTAAACCAAACAAATAATCGCTTATCTAACAGAATGTAATTTCAGCACATAGCCAAATAAAAACAAACAGAAATCTATAATTTCATGACAAAGGAATTTCGTTACATGACACAAAAATTATAGAACATCAATCTCCACAAGACTGAAACTTTCTAGCTTGGATGGTAAGACCATTCAATCCCTTGACGAAACCACTTAAGGTAAATTGGCCAAGCAAGTTTACAGTTCCAGGTCATAGAATATTTAGCAATTCTTCCAATTATACCTATCCTGATGTCATATTCTGATATGATAAAGAAAGAGCGAAAGAGAACGTTACCAGTAGTACCAACATCATCCCTCTGGTCATCGATTCCAAAAAATAAGCACTTCGAACTCTGTTATGTTTAGTAAAACATCAGAGAAATAAGTCCTAATTATCATCAAAAGAAAGTATGTTAACAGCTATACCTTTATGATCTTACAATATGCATTTGGCTTTCCCCGAGCTTTAGACCTAATTTCTAATAAAGAAACATCGGAAATGGAAGATAGGGCCTCTCCTCTAAAGCCAAGGCCCTCTGTACCAGCGTCTGCCACAAGAAGGGCCTTTGATGAAGCTGCTCATGTCAAACAAGAGTCTAAACATTGATGGAATACCACTTATTGGATAGCATAATCATAAAGACGTAGAAACACTTATTTTGCTACACTCATAATGGACTCTGGGCACACCATAATCACATGGACAAAAGGAAAGAACATTATCACCATTCATTAATCAACCAAACAAGAATTTCAAACCATTCACTTACAAGAAACAGCAAAAAGATACTCAAGCAAATGAATACATCTAGCTCATTATTTTAAGAGATTTGAAAATTCACTAAATAATTCCTATATCGACCATTAAAGAATTGGTACATGTATTAAAGCAAATTCAATCCTGGCATCAAGAAAAAGAGCTGGTATAAAGAGCAAAGAGGGCAAAGAGCGTAGATCCACATTCGGTTTCATTACTCATAATGATTTCTTTCAACACAAGGAGAGTAGCGAAACATTACAGTACTTCATGGTTTGAATGTCAACCGGTGAGAAGATTGGTTCTAAGGTAAGCTGTAATCGTGCTAAAAGTTGACAAGAAGATCTCAACCCACACCCAAACAAATAAATAATGAAAGACCTCACAACATACTGGTAGCAATGGCAAAAAATTGAAAAACTTCAAAAATAACAATAATAATTATGACCTTTTAGCTGATCAGTTGAGGTTTTTAACCAGACTACTCCTTCAATTGCATGCTACTCATATTATTTATGTCATACAAATAATGGCAGCAATTACTTCAAATAACTCTAAAGATTTGAATGCCTTCAAAACTAGGTACTATTCATAAAAAGATAGAAATAAAATTTTATGTGAATAAAAATACAAGAATTCTGATGCCCGTCCTTAAAAATGAAAAAAAGTAAATATGGTTGTAAAGGCCAAATTTTGCGAAGGTACAAGTGCATAATTATCAAATTAATTATACCGCTAATTCCAACTTTTTCTAAAATCATCAAAAATTATTATATTGCATTCTATTTCCCAAACAACCAATTTTGACACATAGAACAATATGCTAATTCTTAAAAACAAATAAGTTGTGGAATTCGCTTCTGTTTTATTAATTTTACTTAAGTTTTTATTTAACTTGTCTCATTATATTGTTCCTATTACAGTAGTTGTAAATTGAATTTAAGTTTTTCCCACATATCCTAACATGCAATGGTGGCTCTGGCAACGGATGGGATTAATTGAGGAATCTTTAAGTATATTGTTACATAATTATATTAATATACAAAGTGATACCGAATTAGGGTAACCAGTAGGAAGTGCAAACGACAACAGTGGTGTAACGTTCAGTTTTATGCTCATAAGTCTACCATTACGAGGGAGAATAAGGATTTGTTTGGCGCAGATTTTCCCTGCGGCGCGGCGTCCGGACGTCATTTTATCTCGTTTGGTGTGGCGCTGGAAGAGTGGCGTCCCGCAATTTCGATCGAACGTCGAACACGTATAGGAACCCGCTTCCCAACTTTCCAACGCGGCATTTTACCCCGTTTCCCTAGTCATAAACTTTTCGCCCCGTGACTACCGATCTCTCCCCTTTCCTCCTCATCGCCGATAGGTTTGATCAGGTGGCAAGATCGCAGGGAACTTCCAACCGCGTTCCTCTTCCCCAATCGGTATTATTCGACTGCTTCTGATCGACTGCTTCCGATCCCCATTGCAAGAAGTCACCGGATAAGGTGAGAAAGCACAGACATTGTTTTGTTTCTGTCCGATAAACAGACTGCAATTGTGTTTGGGGCAGTTACAATTTTGCTATTCTTTAAGCACATAATTGTTTTCTTTAATGTGTTATTTTCTGCAAATGTCAAATACATACCTTTGCTTTAATTACATACCTTTTTTTTTTTTACCATTGCTTTAATTGCATATCTTTGATTTCAATCCTGATGTTTGACATGTAAATACATAGGAATTATAGAAGCATGTTTGGGGGTTTGCTTTAACTGAGAGGGATGTCCGATTTTTTTTGCTTTGCTTTAAATGAGTGGGGGGATTGTCTACGCATATATATATTTATGTTGGGGGATTGCCTTAAATGTTCGATTTTTTGTGTTGGGGGATTGATTTAAATGTTCGATTTTTGTGCTGGAGGATTACCTTAAATGTTCGATTTTTTGTGTTGGGGGATTGATTTAAATGTTCGAATTTTGTGCTAGGGAATTACCTTCTGCTCCGATATATATACGTTGGGTTTAATATATATGTTGGGGGATTGCCTTATTAGATTTTGCATAATGATAATTTGTAAATTCTTGCAAAATGGTTTAGATATGCACTTATTAAATTCTTATGTGCTGGGAGATAGTAAATTCGTTGTAAATTTTCATATAAGTTTGTAAGCTCTGCAAAATGGATATACAATGCAGATTTTATCTGCAAAATGGATATAAGGGTGTCCGAGCAGCTCACCAAGAACCCGAATTCCTTGCAGTTTATAAAAGTTAAGGTGTTAGATATGCAAGCACAAAGGAATTGTGTGGTATGTGTGTAAACGATTCTTTTTTTTTTCTTTTGCTCTTCGGCTGAGTGGTATGATTGCAAATTTTCATAGAAGGGTGTAAGTTATGAATAAAAAGGATTTACAATGCAGATTTGATCTCCAATCTGGAGTACATCAGTCCGAACGAGTGTTTGAATGTAAAGTCGTTGCAGTTATTAAAGTTTAGGTGTTATATATGCAAGCACAAAGTAATTGTAGTTCCATGAGAATGACAAGGTTAATGTGTTTCCATCGTTGGAGGGGCTTCTCCATTATTTTCAGCAATTTTTTGTCATTTGCATTTATTTTATGCTATTTGCAGCAGTATTGGAAGTTGATACATGTATGGTTGCAATGTAGATGTACATGTACGGTTGCAATGTAGATGTACATGCACGGTTGCAATGTAGATGTACATGTACGGTTGCAATTTTTATATTATCGAGCAGGATTTAAAGCTGAAGTTTTTTATGTGGGTTTAGGTGAAGCTTTTTATGTGGATATAAAGCAGGATATAAAGCTGAAGTTGAAGATGAAGCTTTTTATGGTTGCAAAGTAGTGAAGCTTTTTATATTATCAAGCAGGATATGAAGTTTTTTATGTGGATATAAAGCTGAAGCTTTATAATATATGAATTGGGTGGGTTTGATGCAAATGTCCCGATTTACTTTCAACCCATTTTGATTGTTCCATTATGATTTGATGTACATTTCTATGAAGCAAGTGGTGATAATCTCAAATAACTATGGCTATGTTCCCTTTGGTGATGATTTGGCACTTTAGGATGGCTTAAATTTTTAAGCAACCATTGTTGCCATTACCAATGAAATCTACTTTCTTCACATGCAATGGCTATACAAGGCATTCAATGTGGGTTGTTTAAAGAGTTCTCTGAAAGCTTGGAAGCATTAACTAGCATTCATTATTAGATATTGTGGAATTTTCAAATGCAATTACTATACACTAGCATTTGGTTTGAAAACTTGGAAACATTAACTGGCATTCTGAAATGTAGGTGAAATTATACGTATGTTTGGTTTTCATATTACAAATGCTTGGTTTTCATTGGTTGTTGACAAAAATTATACAATTGAAGTATGTATATATTGTAGTGGTATACATGTAAATGCCCCATACACTAATTGAAGTATGCAATTCTTTTTTATTTTTTCTTTGGGGCAAGGTTGATTTGCCAAACTGTTGGGTATTATATGCCCCATATAAAGTTTTTTATGTCGTTTGTAATCTATGGTCTATATATGCGAGCTGAAACAGGAGCATTTACATACATATCACATAAATTGGAGCTGATTATATTTTGACATAAATATGAACTTTCTCTTTTGTTGCATTCAGAAGAAGATGAGCTCGCGAATTTCATGGACATCGCGACGAACACTCTGTCATTGTGGCCTCCAACCCTCACTGCTCCACGTCAGCCACACAGCTACGGGAGGAAGTTATATACCTGCCCACAGAGTATCGCCGAACAGTGCAAGTTCTTCCGTTGGGCAGACAGTTTGATTGATTCCCTAGATGACGTTGATCTAGAATGTAGAACATCACTTGAGGAAAGTCTAGCACGGGAGCTACACCGTGCAAATGTTAAAAATAATATAATTATTTTGCTAATTCTCATTGCAACAGTTTTAGAGTTTGTTTTTCCCTCCTTATGTTATCGGTTACTTGAAATGTGTTTATGTAATTCTGGACAATTATCATTGAAGTTTGGACAAAACAGTAGTCATGTACTTCCCTGAAACCTTTTTTTTTATTTAAGAGATGAATTCCTGTTGTAATATATAACACAAATGGGTACTTTAATTCGGAGTCTAAATTTTTTAGCAACGTTTGCGTTTACATGTTCATAATCGATGAAAAACTAAAATATGTGTTTGATCATCAAAGCTTGATATTCATAACTTTTAAAATTACCCAACAATTACATTTATTACTTATTTAACACTTTCAAGTTTCACTAATTTATTACATAAAAAATTTTGCATATGAAATTAAAAAAAATTTCACCGTTACAGCCTTTTCTTAAACAGTTTTACCAAACAAGGGCAAAATGGTCATTTTTCCAGAAAAAAACAACTATTTTCACACAACTGCACCAAACGGACAGTCAGCTTCCCCGCAACTGCTTCCCACCAGCAGCTTCCTGAAACAGTACAGCTGCAGCTGAAAAGCTGTGAAACTACAGCTGCGCCAAACAGAGCCTAAGGTTAATTTCTTTAAAGAGGAGATGAGAGAGAGGACTGGCAAATCAATCAATGTTGTGAAGCAAACCAAATTGAGCAGCAATCCTACGGTTCATACATGCAAGTGGCTCGATGGAGGAAAACATGAGCAGTGTCACACGTAAGATCGTTGATGTCATGCAGAGGAATTAGCGACAAAGCAAAGCATATTCGCAACAAAGTTGGTCGCAAGCCTGGGCAAACGTGAGGCACTCAGAAACAAGAGGAAGGGAACATGAGTCTAAGGGGGAGTTTGGGTGCAAGTCAGATTTAAGTTAA